AAAAAACACATACGTACAACGATATCGTAAAAAATATTCTTTTGACGTCGACGAATCATCCAGCGGAACGCTCTTTCGTACATACAACCCTACCAACTCCCCCCCCAACCCCCGCTTCATATTTGCATCCATGTATTTTTCTTCCTTTTGATTTGTTTTTTTTTTTTTTTATCTTTTCTATTTGTATTTGTATTTTTATCAAAAAACAATCGCGAACGTCCTGTTCGTTTCGAACGAACAAATTGAGATTTAAAACAGATGTTGCTCGTACGCGTTTACACAACACGTGGAAATACAACACAAATATATCAATTTTACATACGTACGTGTAGAAAAATAAGGGTGCAGGTGGTTGTGGTTGTGGTGGGGTGAGACAGAGAGGAGGGGGGGAGAGGTTGAGACAAGAATAATAATAGAAAATCATGTCAGAAATACGACGAAACTTTCCGATATTGTCGACAAGTGAATTTTGTTCATACTTGAAATTCAAGGATTTAGTAGGAAAAAAGAAAAAAATAGAAAGAGAAAGAAAGAAAGATAAAAAGAATGAAATGTTGCATCTCGAACGAGTCTATGCTAATAATCCGACCAACCAACGTGCCACAATCTTATCAATGAAATCCATATTGACTTTCCATCCGCTTTTCTTATTTCTTTCACCCGTCTCGTCGTTCGACGATCCGTCGAATTTCGACGCGTACATTTCCTCCATTTTTCAAATATTCCAAGGGGGTCGTCAATAGTAAGTATACCGGGTGTCATTGAAAATTGTACGCTACGTTGATTTTATGTATATTCACGTTGAACGCTACAATCGAGATACGAAAAAAAGAAAAAGAAAATGGGATAAATTTGATTCAAGAATTTAAATGAACAGGAAAATTGATTAAAACAAAAAAAACAACAAATTAGATAGTTTTATTATAGAAGGATTATTAGAAGAGGAAAGTAAACGTACTCGGATTACACGTAAATAGTAATCGTCTAGTTTTAATTGATTAATTAAATTTAAAAATGTATTCTCGTGTGTTAGGGGGTTAAGGTTTTTGTCCGTACAGTACGTTCCGCTGGAAATTGGTTAAATGATTTCAATAATAATTACCCTAATATCTCTCTCTGATTTCGTTCTCTCATTATCGCGGATATCTCTGAGTGCATTAGTCTCGTTCATCGTATTCACGCCCGGCCATTGTTCCTGAATCGAAATACGTGGGAACGTCTGGATCATTTGTTAATTCGCCTTTTGGATAATATTTATCGATAGTAGTTAATACGTATACGTACAAGGCTTTGAGAAAGAAAGAAAGAACAAAAAAGAAAAAAAAAGAAATAAGAAAAGACGAGAAAGTATTTACTACTTTTACTCGAGATGAGCGGAGTCAATAATTTATTCCATTTGTTCTTTGGATATAATTATAATATATATATATATGGGTTCTGATTTTTGAACAAAGATCGATCTCCTTGAGATTGAATTGTTTTATTAGTCAACACGATTAAAGATTATCGTATTATTCATTCCATTCGCGTCTCTCTCTCCGAAGGTTTTTACGCTTCATTTTCCGAGATCCGTATCTGTATAGATATACATACATATATATATATATATATATATATATATATATATATATATATATATAATATATATATAATAAATCGAATTTTGATCACAATTCGATTATTATCCCTAGATCTTTCGATAAAAATTTAAAGATCGTTTACGAGGGATTACGAGATATTTTCGTTGAAATATAAATCATCGTGTCTCGAATACGTGGCGTTTTGTTATTTGTTATCCTCACGGAGAGAAGCTGTCTTTCATTTGAAAAGTATACGACGGAATGCCCGACGGAAGTCCTTGTTGAAAACGGTATAGATAAAGGGATTCAAAGCTGAGTTCATGTAACCAAGCCAGAAGGCAATGACGAATGCTTGGCTTGGTATATTGAGATCAGGGAAGAGGGGTTTAACGATGTAGAGAAGGAAAAAGGGTAACCAGCAGGCGATAAAGCTGCCCATGATGAATCCTAGGATGAGGGTTGCCCGTTTCTCTTTTTTCCTGGCAATACGTTTCTTTTCTCGTTCGGGATCACGTGGCTTGGAGGATTTAGCCTCTACCATGATTTCTTCTTTTCCATGTTGCTTAGACGTATCCGCTTTTTCCCTCTTGACCTTGCTGGTAGTTTTCCGACCAAAGATCGGCTGACAAAGCCGTAGTTTTAATGGCTTCACCACGGCACACCTTGATACAACACCACTGTCCGATGAGGATGGGTCGAACTCTGACACCATGTCCGTGTCAATGCCGACGCTAGGTGCTCTGCATCGTACCACAACTGTCTGACTAGATTGACCATCCCCGTTCACCGACAAACTTGCTTTCAGGTTGCTCTTTTGAACTGGCATGGGTATAGTTACCTGATGACAAATCAATCGGGACACGTAGGAAGAAACGTTACCTTTTTATACCCCCTTTTTTTCTTTTTTTTTCATTCCCTGCCCACATCGTACCGTTTACTTTCGTAAACGTTATTTCCTAATTAATATGATTGATTTTACCTTTAAGGTGTCTTTTTCCTCCATTGGTATACTGTTGCCACCGGCTGGATCAGCCTCCGACGTGCTTACGTCGCTGGCATAATCGCAAGTTACGATTGGTATTTGGACTGGTTGGTTTTCTATCGTTGCAACGTTTTCCATCAGAGTTCCGGCGCTACCCCCGGCACCAACCGGCCCTGACCTCCTAGAGTCCAGTGCTGTAGTACTCTGTGTGAAACTCGTCTGTCTGATATCCGGGGACTCAGGTGGCACCGCTACTGGACGTGGTCGTGGATGTTTTCTTATACCACGACGTGCTCTAGCTTTCGCTGCGAAGTAAATGCGTATGTAAACGAACACCATGATGCAAGAGGGGATGTAGAAACTCCCGAGTGCCGAGTATAATACGTAACCGATATCCTCCGAGAGCTGAAAAATATAACCAAAAAAACAAATTTTGTTAACTGTCAACACACATACGTGGATACATTAATTCAATTGTTGTTATTATTAGTTTTATTCTATACGATTAATGATACACACAAAACACATATTTTTATTCGGAATATAAATTATTATATATTAAGATAAATCGAAAGTTTTTTTGTTTTTGTGAACTATTATTGTATTATAAATTGTATTAGAAAATTGTTTAACCAATTGTCTTTTTTCTGGGGGGAAAATTTAATTTGAAAATATTAATATTAAAAAACAGAAAAACCCAGGGAAACACATTTTTGCTAATATTTAATAAATAAAGATAAATTGTGGTGGTGGTAGTAGTAGAAATATGCAACGTAGGAATGACAAGGAGTGTGAGAGATTTTTATGATAAAAATTTCATTTCTCTCGGTACTGGACGCTATTTAATTTCTCATTCGCTATACTTCTTTTCATTTTTCTTTTCGAATCATATCACGGGACAGTATCGTCGTCGTGCGAAATTATAAACGTTCTTTCGTATCATCCTCTCTCTTTTTCTTTTTCTTTTTCATAGTAGTCGAATAATATGGAATGGGCAGAGGAGGAAGAAGAAAAGGTCAGGAGGTTAACGGGGAAAGAAAAAGAAGGTAACGGGACGCGCCAGATGTCTGACCGTTCTACTAGGTGGTACGCAAATATGTGGAATAACCAGCAATTTCTGTCGACGCGAATGAAAATTTATGAAAGCGTTTCGAGTCAATATGCATATCGTTCGTTTATAAACGGCCATTTTGGGTTCCTCTCAACGAAACATTTTTAACGCTTATTTCTTTTTTTTTTTTGTTTCATTTTTTTTTACTTTGCTCTAGTAATATTTTAACGAAACGCAATATCGTTTATTTAATAATACAAACACAAACACACACACACGCACACAGATAAAAAAAGAAATTAATTAATCCCTTAGGAAATTGAACGTCATCGTTATTTTTTACGAACTTTTTAGCAAACATTCTTAATCTATTTTTCGAAAAGACCGTATAATTCAAAGATATTGATATCATTATTATTATATTCAAACGAATAAACATTATTCTTAGTCGAAATTTATTTATAATATATTCGTCATCGTGTGTATGTGTAACGTTTATAAAAAATCGAATACAATTTAAAATCGTCAATTAGAATTTTTCAATCTAACTTATGTACGTAATCGTGAAATTTGTTAAACAAATTTTTCGATCATATATTTTCAACCTACGATTAATCCCTTTTCCAAACAGGATATTCCACTTTGTACGCGAATGATATGTCGCGTGTTTCGAAAAAAAATTCTTCGAAGAACAAAAACGCGAATGAAAATAAAACAAATATTTATTATAACTTATAAACCCCCTGTTTTAAATGAAAGATCTAAAAAAGATCATCATCATCATCATCATCATTTTATTATAGTTTGCTTGTATGACTTTTCCTCGTTATCAAAGGACCCCCGACCTTCTTTTTTCATTTTTTTATTCAACACACTATCGTATTCCTCTTGAAGCTGGTTTTCTTGATTATAAACGAAAGCACGTATCTTCTATATCTAATTTCAATTTTCTTCTATCTAATTTCAAACAGTTCTCTGTTTATAACATCAAGAAAATACGCGTGTATTTTCTCCTTAGTCTGTAGTTGACATACATACACTCACGCCATATTACTCGTTTTTATCGTCGTCATCTGGCACCGATGACACCTCCTTCTTCTTCTTCTTCTTCTTCTTCTTCTTCTTCTTCTTCTCTTACCCATTTGCTCTAATTTTCCCTTCGTTCTCAATTATCTACTCTACCATTCAACTTCTCTCTCTCTTATTCATCGTTAAATTTTATCAATCATATTCCCAAAATCATATATTCATCGAAACTCATTGAACTATAATGTGTTAAGTTTAATTTGCGTTTACCTATTATCGATTAAATCATTTCAAACGTTCAAACATTTTCAATTATTATTACATAAGTGATCTCCTTTTGAAAACAAACAATAATATCTCTTCTATGCAAATGTATTTTTATTTTGAATTCTTATATAAGAAAAAAATAAAAATCAATATAAAAAAAAAAATGGAAAATATATATTTATAGAATATTTTGTTGACACGTAACACGATAGAAAATAATAAAATCTTTATTAAACATTTTGTTTCTCTCGTAAAAGAAGGGGCTAAAGGAAATGAAAAAAAAGAAAGGGGCAAAAAAAAAAATAAAAAGAAGAAAATACGAATTGATGGATCGTTGATCCGATAACAAAATTACACGTATCCCGTTCCATTAAGTTGTTGTTGTTATTGTTGTTGTGTTGTTGCTGCCGCGACAGGTAACGTTCATCGACAGTTCGACGTCCGTTCGTTCGTTCGTTCGTTCATCGTATTTTATAACCGTATATAAACTTTCAAACACGTTTACGAAGGGTCTCCTCCATCCCACCTCTCACCCCCCCTCTCACAACAATAAGCTATAGTTTCCGAATGACGCGTGTATTATATGCCATTAGGAGAATATAATGAAGGTGGAATAAACAAGTAAAAATAATCAACTAACTTTTACTATGACGTATAGAATCGCAATGAAAAATATAGAAAAAGAAATAAAAAGGAATTGGTAGGGGGTAGGGGGTAGGTAATAATAAATCATTTTTCCAAATGCACTTATTATTAAAGTTAATGTATATAAAGGAAAGAAAATCCTATCAATTCTAAGCTACATCGAACGTGGCTTATTATCATGGATGAAGAGAATGAATACTTCGATCGAGATTCGTGGTTATATAAGGCAACTTGCCAAATCCGTTGCATTTAAGAGGAAAATGCCACGAAAGGGTTCACCCCTTCCCTCCCTTTCTTCCTCCACCTCCTCCCCTGAAAACCTTCACTACCTACTCGAGTCACACAAGATTATCCGATGAAAAATAGTCAAAGAGTTATTTTGCCCTTTTTTCTTTTCTCTTTTCTTTTCTTTTTTTTTTCTTTTCTTTCCTTGTTCTTTTTCCTTCCTTCTCGCATCGATACGAACGGACGTTTCATTTTCTTCTATTTTTCTTTTTTCTCTTTCTTTTTTTCTTTTCCTTTTTTCTTTTTTATCACGTTCTCTTTTTTCATCTCTCTCTCTCTCGGTTTCCTTTTATAATTGCTCACCTTTGTGTGAGCGGATGATTAGCTCGCTAAAGGACTCCTCCCCCTACCCTTTCTTTACCCTAACCCACCCTCCTACTCACGCAAATATTATCATTCCACTTTCACAGAAAACGTAAGATAACTTTTTAATTTACATAGTCACGCGACTAAGTTAACGATTAAAGGATAAATAAAAGAAAAAGGAAAGGGAAAAGTTTGGGAGGGAGGGGGAGCGGGAGGGGGGAAAAGAGTCATCCTCCTTTTCTTTTTTTTGTTCTTTTACTTTTTCTTGCTTCCTTTCTTTCTTTCTTTTCGATGAAAATTATTTTTCGCGTCTTTGATCGCGTCTTTATTCGATAATTGTATTCACCATTGATACGATATTCCTCGTTTTATCCCATAGACATCATTCAGGATTATAATAAATATCTGTCCTATAGTTCATCCCTTTTTATCTCTTTCAACCGAGTCTCATCCCCCTTCGCGAACCCTTATTCCCTTTTTATATCTCGTCAGGATGGGGTTTTTTATATTTATATACCTTCGTCTATTGCGACGTGACACGTGTTTGTTTTATTTTTTTTTTGTTTTCGTTTTCTGTGTTTTTGTGTTTTTTTGTCGGTCTATATCAAAACATACGGGGGTCGTTTACATGACGTGCGTAAACAAAGTGAAAGTACTTTCTTTTTTTTTTCTCTTCTTTTTGCACGAAAAATTTACCTGCAATTTTCCACCCCGCTCCCTGAGACCATCCCCTCCCCCCAGCCACCACTCTAACCCATCGAGATCTTTAAACGATGAAAATAAAATTGAAAGTAAAAAAAGAATAACCGATGATGATGATAAGTGTTTCGTATAAATGTGGGAAGTATGTTTTGGCACGAAAAATGGTGGGAAAAAAAAAAAAGAAAAACAGAAAAAAGAAAAGAAAATAGAAGGAAGAGATAGGAAAAAAAAAAACCCAATATGTAGAAAAGCTTTCGCTCGGTTATAATATATCGAAGAACACCCCTCAAGGCTAGTTTTGTTTTATATATATATATATACATTTTTTTTTCTCTTTCACCTCACTAGGACTCTTCAGAACTTAATCGAGAATAAAAAGAACGAAAGAAAAATGGAACGGCCTCGATGGAGAAGAATAAAAAAAAAAAAAAAAAAAGAAGAAGAAAAAAAGAAAGCAAGAAACGGGAAACGTTTTTGTATCGAGGAAATTACATGTCCGGCATAAAAAAAAACGTGGAATAAACGTGGTAGTAGCATAATCGATGCGACTGTCAGACGCAGATGAAGACTTTTTTGATATCGGTAAGCACCCACGCATGAATAAACGCATACACACGTTCTGTCACATGATCAAAGAGAAAGAAGTGACCCAATATGGAAAGGGAAACTTAGGAAGAATGGGAAAAGTAATGGTGAAGGAAACGTTAAAGGAATATATTGAGTGTGTATGTGCGTGTATGTATGCTAGTCGAAAACATTTTTGGAATCTCGATTAATATCTCTTTTTATTTTCCTTTTTTTTTTCTTTCTCCTGTTATTGAGAATCAAAGGACGACCCTTTTTTCCCACTTTTTTTCCTCTTTTTATCAAACGTTAGCGTAGACGACAAGAATTATACGACCTTTTTTATTATTGCAACTGTGATAGAAAACCAATCACATCGTTTTCTATCGGCACCTATTTTGTTCGCGTTAAATCAACAATAATTAAAAAAATTAGGATGATTAACGAATCACCGTGAAAATATTTTATTATACCAATTTGAAAATCTTGTCGTATTTATTTCGCAAATAAACCACCACCACTACAACCGTTAGTTGCGATATTTAAGAGCTACGAAAAA